GTCAAACTAATTTTCATTCTCAAACTTTGTTGGTCTCTATCCCAGGAAGCCACCAGCCAAATATAAAGATTCTATACCTTTCAGTTCTTCAGAAGAAGTCGTTTGAAGTGTTTGACACATTTGACCCCTGTGACCTTGAAAGTAGGTCAAGGTCATTTTCATTCTCAAACTTTGTAGGGCTCCTACCAACGAAGCTTTCAGCCAAATATCATGACTCTAGGCCTGTCCGTTGTTCAGAAGAAGTCGTTAAAGGAAAAGTTGACGGACGAGGACGGACGGATGACGGACGCCGCGCCACGGCATAAGCTCACTTGGCACTTCGTGCCAGGTGAGCTAATAACAATGTATCAAGAATATTATGCCCTTCTTTCATGTGTACACTGAATTACATAATGTATCTTAAAACTACATTTGGCTTGACATTGTTTAAGAAAGAAATAACGCAAACTAGCAATAGTCAGCATTTTAGTTTCGGTCAGGTACGTCTGGACCCCTCAATCTATACATGTATATCTATACATGGCTGAATATTCCCGAGGTCAGCCTTGGTTTAGATCTGTGCCTGTCGTTTTCTTTACAGGTTCAACCGTTTCAACTGGTTGAACCGGATACATGAAAGGGGCCCTAACATATTTCTATACTGTCATTGTAAATATTGGCAGTGGAAAAATAAAATTAGAAAGTCCAATACAATATGTAGGTCACAGAGCCTTGGGTTGTGCTGTTAACCCTTTCACCCCTAGGTAACTTGAGTAGACTCTACCATACATTCATCTGGATGAGTCCATGATGGTCTACAGTGGTGAAAGGGTTGAATTTTTAAGACCTTGTATTTACATTTAAGGACTGTGTCAATGGTAGTAGAGCGACACATGCATACTTGCCAACTCTCCCTATCTTGGAAGGAGATTCCCTATTTTAGACCCATAAAATAAGCAGTTTCAAACAGTGGATTTGCTTAACTATTCCTATTTTCCATGAACTGATGATTTCATCTGAAAGAACAGCTCAAAAGACGCCATTAAAAAGTGTTATTTTCCCCTGGGGTGTATCATACACACAATTTATCTATGTTTTTAAATCAGGACATGCATAATCTCCCCCATGGAAATTTAAAAAAAAAATGGTAAGTGTGCTCATGGCTACAAACAGCTGTGGGATCTGTATCACAAAGATCCAATCAATTTTGATATTTTGAAATTTTTGATAATTGATCCTAATCAATGGTCAAATAATATAAAATTTAAAAATGAAAATAAATCATTCAGACCTTGAACTACGGTTCCCGCATTTAGGCTGTTTAAAAGTGGAAGCCCAATCTGCACATATAGTAACCCAAGAAATACCACCCAGTCACAATATTCTGACACCAGGCTATCCAGGAATTAACGCCACGCATAAAATGACATCAAGCAGACTGAAGTGAGCACCATTTGAATGACTTTGGTCTTAACCCTTTCACCACTGTGGACCACAATGGACTCATCCAGATAGAGCTATGGTAGAGTCTAGTAAAGTTACCTGGGGGTGAAGGGGTTAATCAGGGAACAGAACCTATAACAGTCCTTGCTCGCCACCAAGACAAACAGCAAAACTAAGTCAGGATTAGTAAATCAAAAAGCAATTAGAAAAGAGAAAAAAATTAAAGATGAAATTTGCAATGGATGTAGCAGATTAATTTTGGCCACTTTTGTGTCCCCAACTAGAGGGCATACGAGAGAATCCCAAATTCTCAAAGGAATTCCCATATTAGTTGCCACTTATGAAAGCCATATTCTACAATTTTAAATACCCGATACATCTTTTCTCTTAAAACTTCAAAATGTGTACTTGAAAATGAACAGATATAACACCAAATATAAAACATTACATTTCAGAAATTCATTTGACATATAAAGTAGCTGTTTACATGTAACTGCACATGTATGTATTACACTGCACATGTATGTATTACACTGCACATGTATGTATTACACTGTACATGTATGTATTATACTGTACATGTATGTATTACACTGTACATATATGTATTACACTGTACATGTATGTATTACACTGCACATGTATGTATTACACTGCACATGTATGTATTACACTGTACATGTATGTAAATGGAAATTCTGCCTCAGCAGGCTTCCAAATAAACACAAGAAACCCCGATCGGACGTGAAAAGGTCTGGGGTCACCTAAAGGTTTTCTCCAGGTACTCCGGTTTCCTCCCACAATAAGACGCCCCGTGCTAACATCCGGGCCAACAAGAGTGATTAATATAAGTTGAAAAATCTTGTTTCATAATTGTTGTAAAATAAATAAAGTTTATTTACTACTATTTACCTGGAAAGGGTCGAACAAGCCCGTACCACTGGCATTGGAATAGTCCGTCGCGTGGACCTTCTCACCTGTCAGTTTCCATAGCAACCAGGTGTCTATACAGCCAAACATCACCTGATCCTCTGATGCTCTGTGTCTCAGCTAACAAAATATTACAGGTACCATCAGTCATTTCTGAGACAGAATTAGTAAGATACACTACTTAATTACACAGGCAAAATTTCTTCATGTCATGTTGACCTGAAAAAATCCTGACCTGAAATTGACCGGAATTTTACCTGAAATTGACATCAAGATTTTTCATTTCAAATTCAGTGTTATTTCAGGTCAACTTCCAGTCAATTTCATGACCTGAAACTGAACAGTTTTTTTGGCTCTTTTCAGGAAAATTTGACCTGAAAAACACTTGCTTGGGTAAATCCTGAAATTCCCAGGAATATCTGGACATTTTTAAAGAGATCAAGTGTTTTTGATAAGCATTTACTGGCAAGGTGATCAAACTTTAGCAAAAGGTCAACAATGTGAAAGTATTGACTGAATTGTAAGACAGATAAAATAAAAGGTATGCTGTTTACCTCCTCAATATTCTCTAGGGCCCAGATCAAGCGTAGACCAACCTGTGAAAAAAAACAAGTTTTTTATGTTGATTTGCAAACAATATATGTTAATTAGTGGTCCTGAATTCAACAGTCTATAAGAACTGAATATAAAGATTACCAAAAAATATCATAAAACTGTATCCTATGGAGACTATTTCTAGTGTAAAAGTGCATGCTTAAATTTCTTTTTTAAATCTTTTTTAAATCTTAAAGCTGAATATGTTAAATTATATTATGATGACTTTTAATATAGCTAGGAGTCTGTTCAATGTAAATAAAAAAACATAAGAATAAACTATTAACACTAACACAATACCAGTTCACATATTTCCTATTATCGACATTCTGTCACACCCAACATAATATTATAGCCATTTAAAATTGAAGAAGTTTGTCTATTAGATTTAAGGACTACATTATATCCGACCAAACCCTCCACCCTTGATTATAGTAATACCAGGTTTACAGATTCATTATTATCGTCATAAAGAGTAGATACCTGATAATAATAATAATAATTTGAGGTCCTTTTATACCGCTTTATCACAATCTAGCTCAGCTCGTAGGTCGTCTCAAAGCAGTTCACAAATTATTATCTGTGGTTATAGGGCCTTTGCAACCAGCCAATATCTTTCTCAACTCCCTGGGGAGCATACAGCCAGTGCTGCCTTTTCCACGCTCACAGCCATCGTTCAACAATTCTAGCACTGCCCAACCACGTACTCATTTACAGCTGAGTAGACTGGATCAATCGGAGTAAAGTATCTTGCTTAAAGATACAACACAGTGCCATGCCGTGACTCGATCCCACAACCCTTTGGTCACAAGCCCGGCGTCCTACCACTAGACTACCATGCCTCTGATTTGACATAAAGAGTACATACCTGATTTGACATGAAGAGTACATACCTGATTTGACATAAAGAGTACATACCTGATTTGACATAAAGAGTACATACCTGATTTGACATGAAGAGTACATACCTGATATGACATAAAGAGTACATACCTGATTTGACATGAAGAGTACATACCTGATTTGACATAAAGAGTACATACCTGATTTGACATGAAGAGTACATACCTGATTTGACATAAAGAGTACATACCTGATTTGACATGAAGAGTACATACCTGATTTGACATAAAGAGTACATACCTGATTTGACATGAAGAGTACATACCTGATTTGACATAAAGAGTACATACCTGATTTGACATGAAGAGTACATACCTGATTTGACATAAAGAGTACATACCTGATTTGACATGAAGAGTACATACCTGATTTGACATAAAGAATACATATCTGATTTGACATAAAGAGTAAATACCTGATTTGACATGAAGAGTACATACCTGATTTGACATGAACTTTAATACGCTGGCTGCCAGGAACCGGGGCTGTCGAGTAAACATGTGGAGGAGCGAAGATCCTTTGTTCAAAGCCTGCCCGGACAAAAACGTTAGACTTCTATCAAAATTTGATGAGACCAACCACCATGAACGCAGGCTATATATAATAAATTTCTGAGGTTTTTCTTTCACTTTTATCATTTTTTATTTAAAACACTTACATGTATGTTCACTGAATTTTTTTCAAAACTGTTATCAAATAAAATTGATTTAATGAACTAAAAAGTGAATGTGAACCATAATTTGTGCTTAAGAATTAATCAACACATGTTTTTTCTATGGTGGAATATGTAACAAGGGGCCTGTTCGTTTATGTGGAACAACAGATACGTCCGTTTTTAAATGTAACATTTTTTGGGTATAAATCCTGGTAGGCCAGCAAAAGTTTATGCAAGCCTGGTAAGGCTTTGACAAGGCTCGTCTGAAAGGAGCGTTAGATTACTGGGTCCGACCTTATTTCATAAATGAACAACTCTGGTCCAACCGTTTCACCGTTTGGACTGCGATAAACAAAAACGGCCAAGGGTAAAACGGAAAATGTGGAAAAAAATTGGTGGTCATAACTAGGATCTCACAAGATTCTCACATTACCATAAATGGAATAATAAAAATAAAGAATGAAAGTCTAGGAGACTTTTTTTTTTCTTCTCCAGTTTTGTTACATGGATAGATTAAATATAGTTTTTATAAATAAAACATTGATATTGTGAACTTTTTACAATTAAGTCATCATGCATAACACTACGTTCTACCCATTGTTATTTTCATGATACATAATAGTTGTTATTAAATATTTACCATATCCACTTGAGACTTACCCGGAGTTTGTACGAGTTATTCCACGATTTGACATGATCACTTGCCCTCAAATCCTGCCAAGTAATAAAGTTGTGGAATGGTTTACCCGTCTCCCTGTTGTAGATATACATACCATCATTTTAAATCATAAAAGGTTTTGCACATGAACAAATATGCACTGGCACATATATCAGTTTTCTAGATACCCAAGATAACCTCCCTGTTGTAGATATATAATTTTAATTATTAAAAGGGGTTTTTATGTAATAAAATATGTACTGGTACATGTATCAGTTTTCTAAATACCTGAATTGTCTCCCCCTTTTAGAAGGTTACCTTTGGACTGAATGAGAATATTAACTCACTCACCCCTGAAAACACATTTGAACTCTTCCAATCCAAAGGTTGGAATAGTTCATTATGAAACTTCAGGGGTGAATGAGTTAATAACTTGCTTGTCATGTTGTTTACACTTCATACTGTCATTCTAGTTTTAGGTTCATGCAGAATTTTCAAACCTGATTTTGTGGTGGGTTTCGAGACTTTTAAGGTAAAAAAACACAAAAATAAGTCTGTTTTATACTTCTCATTTCAGCTTTCATTTTCATTTCTGATACATTTTGTTTCCTCACTCAATATACATTTCCAAATTAAATCCATTTCATGATAACTGGTATTATTTGATGTTAAGTTGGCACCTTACCTAAGATGAGCCTTACGGTTACCATTCAGAAATTTTCACTCTTGAATTTTAATTTATGTATTTTCAAAGACAATCCTTCTAATTTTGGGCCTTTTCAAGCTTGTATGAACATTGTAGCTACAATACCTGTAGGCAGTTATTGACAGAATGAGATACAAGTCTAATCAAACAATTTTAATTGTATCATTATATCTCGTGAAAGAATCAATAGATTTTCATACATCAAACACTTTCAATGTATGTTGCCCTTATAACCTGTACTTAGAGTAGACCAAAGAAAAAAAACATCTTTTGTTTCCCCTAACACTTAGCTACCTACCCTAGATTTGTTTGCCTACCCTAAAAATTATATTGGTCAGAACTCCTCCTTTATATAAGCAAAGTAAAATTATTTTCAAAATTTAAAACAATTGACTACATGTTCTTACCGACCTGACTTTTTTCTGATAATGCTAGTGGAAACAAAAGTAATCTCTTTTTTTTGCTTTACCTGTCCCAGGTGAGAAATGTAGATCTCTGGTTAGTTATTCCTATACACGTCACCTGGCTTGCCGTGATGTTAGCAGCTTAAAGATTGAAACGTAGAAAAGAAACTAGATTATTACTTAATTCCTCACATACAAATGGGTTTTTTTAACAGTACAATGTAGAATTTGAAATTTGAAAAGCTGAGCATAACAATCAATTCTTGAATTACCAAGAAGAAATGGCATCTACTTAAGACAAATTCACATATATGTCAGGTGCCGGGAATTTATTAAGTTCAAAAGATATTTTGCTTCAAACGACAAAATTAACATTTTACAAGAATAATTATATAATGATTCAGAAACAAGTAAATTGTGTATGAAAATCAGGGTCCGTATTCATGAAACCGTTCTCATGCTCAAGCATGGACTCTGTGCTCAAACCTACTTTCTTCTAACTCTCTTAAAAATCTTGTCAAACGATAAAAAAGTCAAATGTAAACATTGAAAACAGTTGTCGGCTTTAAGTCTCTTCAATGTTTTTCCAAATCATTGAAAATATAAGATTTGTTTATGAATTTATAAGTAGAACAAGAAATTTGGCTTGAGCACAAATTCCATACCTGAGCATGGGAACAGTTTCATGAATACGGGACCTGGTGTTAATTGATTTACACAAATATCCCTACCTACATCAATACCATCACCACAGAACATGTCAACTTTATATTGTTATGACAATACATTATTTTACTATTAAAACCAGTTCAAGAAGGCATCTTAGTTTGATTTTCATAGCAATTATTAAGTTTGAGTTGTTCTCATAAATATTAGCTGTTCTGATCCGACATATTAGGTAGTACACTTTGTAATTCTCCCAAAAATAAATTCACTAATTCTATAACTACATACAGTACTGGTTACTATATAAAGTTGTAACAGGACGAGGAATAGTGATATAGATAGTGCCGTCGCTGGGGCTCGAACAGGCGACCCTTGGCTCTCCAGCGCCATGGAGGAATCAGGTAAAGGAAAATTCTCTATAGCCATTGCTTGTAAGGCGACCTAATCAATGCACATCTTTTACACTATCAAGTATATAAGTACATATACCTCTGATTGATTCCTTGATGCAATCAACAGCCTGCTGTACCAGAAGCTCTGGGTCCATTTCTGCCCATCGTGGCTCGGGGTACATAATCTGTATCTGCAATAGTGACAACAAGATCAGGGAAACTGTATGGTGATCAAAACATAAAGGCATAGGTGTCAGCTTCTGAAACCTCTATTGAGGGAGATCTCCCTCATTTCCAATGAGAGAGAAAGTGTGTGAAACCCAACTGAAACTGCTTTGTTCAATTTCTTTTCCTTTTTTATGTATCAAAATAACTCCAAAAAGTATGCATTTGATTCAGACATACCGGTCATGATCAGTACACACACTCTGCAGTAACTAGGATCATTTGACCACAGGATGTAGATTTTGAGTTTGTCTGAGTTAAAGTCTTGAATGAGGGAGTTTCGAGGGAGATAAGTAAATGTTGCTCAAATGAGGGAGTCTCCCTCCTAATTAGGGAGGGTTGAAAACTATATGGTGAAAGACAAAGGATATTTATACATGTTGTGGAAACGTTTAGAGGGAAAATAATCACAATACTGACAATGACTCCAAATCATGACTCAGTCACATCGTCACAATATGACATCATATGTACCTGGTACATCAAGAATAACAACATAATTCATATCTTTACCTGAGATAATGACCCATCACCTGATCATGATCTGTTAATATATGTCATAATGTGTGTTATTCCTTTTATTACATTTGCCTACAATTGTTTTTAGATGCATGTTATATTTTCTGCAAAACGAAACTCAATTCATTACTCTGTAGTATATATATATATAGTATATATATGGGGCAAAGAAGTAATTCCAACAGTGTGGACAAGTTTAGGTTGTCAAATTTTCGGAGCGATCCGCTCCTTTATCAAGACACAGTGAGGCAGAACAGTTACATGTACAACTACATCATATTACAAGAAGATAGAACTGATATATACATTTAATTAAATATGCTTCGAAAATAAATTTAATCGAACTAGGCAGACAAGATTTCATAGAAGAATGAGTACGGGTATTGATGTTACGTCACTATGATAGTGTAAAATGCTGCTTTAATATTCAAAACCCATTCGTGTTTCAATTTGTTGATGGGTGGATAACAACCAATGAGTTCTGGCTACTGGGACTATACAACATCTTGTGTTATTACACAGGAACTTCTATTGAATGACCCGAAAACTGGCGGTATCATTACTGTAAGATTCACCAGGTATGTGTGGTCGGGTGGTGCAGTGGATAGCGCACTTGCCTTTCACCCAGGCGGCCGGACTTTGATTCCCCGATCGGACGTGACCCAAAATTGTGACCCCATTCTTGACCTAATAATTTCACATGAATGATCTCACTTGAATGATCCCTACATTGTAAGTTAAGCCCCAAATCATGACCCAAGTTATCATGAACCCACATCTTGTCCTTATGTCATGACCTCTACATTTAGACCCATGAATATCATGAAACCATGATATATAAATGACCCTCACCCTTTTGCTGCTTGAGCCTTTGATGCTGCCATTCTTTAAGTAGACATGGCTCCGCATAGTCGTGGTGCCGATGTCGAGGGAGATGATGTAGGGGGTGACATCATCAGCCTTTCTTCCCTCCCCTTGGCCAAGGTTCATACTGGTACCAAGGACTTTCTGCAAAGAAACAATAAAATATTATAAAGTTATAAACAATGTTGATTAAATAAGCTGCTAATAATACAATAATACTTTATAGGTTAACACAACAAGGGATAAACGATGGAGATAATGTTGTTTGTCCAAATCTCATTTACCATTTAACTAATGTCAAAACCTCATTGTTGGATAATTGATCCCTTATCAACTATTATAGTACTGTAGCCATTTTTATCCTTAACAAATATTTTCTTTCTGTCTTTAATATAAATGTATAGTCAATCAATTGTCTGTCATTGTTCAATGATTTCTTATAAGTGAGGATACTGATTTCCAAATCTATGATGTATTAGTGTAGTAGACTACTATAGGTTAGGGATTTATACTTACACTATAAAATCGTGTCCGCTGTGCCTTATCATCCATGCGTTTCAATGATAAGTAAATACATTCAAGCCATATTATGATTCATTATGCTACTGCAGCAAGGCACAAGATCTAATGAAGAAATAAAAATAACTATTTTACATCAAGCATGTCAAAACTGAATTAACATTAGATAAAAGAAAATTCCACTAAATGGTGTCAGGATAGAGAGTTAGTTCGATTAATATTTATGATACATTACTTCCCAGGCTCAAGCTTGTGAGTATTTCATAATAGTGAATATTTATTGGCGGATTGGTTGAGTGGTTAACAACCCAGGCTTCCACGCAGGCAGCCAGGGTATGATCCTCAAAGACATTGTATGCATGGATATTCAGAGAACATGTTTTTCTCCTGCCCACACAACTCCAACAACCCAGGTGGAGTATAAATTGGTCTGGGGTGGATGCTTTGCTGTATCATTTAAGTGAGGTGGCACTATAAATGATGCCGTTAGAAGCATGGTCCCAATACAAACAGAACACATTACATCTCCAGCACACAAACAGGCATACACCTATAGGGAGATATTAGCCAGGTGGCATAGGACTAGTAGTTAAGCGCCTGATAATGCCTCAAAATTATATTGAGTAAATTATATGCTAATTGTTTAAGTTGCACATCCATGTACTGTAAAGCGCTTTAAAGTGGCGTATGTTAGCTAGATATGGCGCTATATCAAATGTGGCATAATATATTATCATTTAGTAATAATGAATTTCTAATACGCCTTTTTTTTAAACACGACCTTCCTGAAGAGTATAATGAAACTGTTGACTCTTAAAAGTAGAAGAGCTTATATTCAAACTAAGATAATAATAAAAAAATATTGATGGAGGAAATCATACAGATGAAGATGAAGAAGAAGATGCATGTATCTGCATCAATGATTCCTCAGTTCGTAAGAAAATATTGGAAAAAACTGTCCGCTAAACGCAGATCAGTATTTCTCAGACACCACGGAGATTTATTGAGAATAACATAGCAAGGTCTACACAGTAGCACTACATGTATCTGCCGATATTTCTCATGGTCTACACGTCACCATTTTGTTTGTTGGACCGTCCGCCATTTTGATCATGTCATGTGATAAGCCTACGGAGCACTCAGCAGTCGATATTTCTGTTTTGAAACTTGGATTCATTTGAAATGTAATCTGAAATGTACACATTTCTGTAGTAAATATATATAACAACAAAACACACAGTGCACAAGCATATAATTCTTAAATTATACAAGATATTGAGTTATTAAAAACTATGTAGCCCCTATATAAATTTTTATTTCTCCTGCACAGGTCATGTACTCCTCGGTAGTATAGTGGTAAGTATCCCCGCCTGTCACGCGGGAGACCGGGGTTCAATTCCCCGCCGGGGAGAGTACTATTTTTCTTTTTTTTCCCTTCTAATATACAAATCTAACTTTCTTGCTCAGACTTTTCCTCGAAAATGGTATTATTTTGCTGGTTTTGTTTCCATTATTTTGTAACGTGGGTCAGGGACGTATATATTTTACAGCTATATTTGGACCTAAATTATATATAAGGTTGGGGTGGCATTTTTACCGAAAGTCGATCTAAACCCCTAATACATGTACAATTACTCTGAACATCTTAGTTTAGGTCCAACTTTAGCTGTAACAAATTCTCATTTCCCTGGATCATGCAAGTAAATAAAATATTCTGTATCTGAAATGATACTGTGTTGACTTCAGTTCTGAAGAAAGCACTCAGGGAGGGGGGTATGCTGCAATATAGTCAGAGTTTTGTAGTCTGTTTTTGAAATTGCCCAAATCATCCTCCAAAACACAATAGTCGTCCAAACCGTTCCAGTCCTTAATTTTCTGTTTCTTTTGGTGTTTTTAGTTACTTTGAGCGTCGAATTTAAAATCGCTGAAAATGAGTCCTAAATATAAGATGTCGGTTACTGGCTGTAAAATTACATTGTGTAAACTGTAGAAGTGCTGGAGAAGCTGTTTTGACCTGCTGATCCTCATGACATAACATTTTTTCGCATAAAGCGCATTCACCATTTTGGTGCCATTGTTCCAAAGAAAGTAGGTCACGCTGGAGTGAGGCAAGGGACCTGAGAATGTGTTACAGCTGTATTTGGACCTAAACTAATGTGTTTAGAGTAAACTAATGTGTTTAGAGTAAACTAATGTATTTGAGTAATTTGACACGTTTAAGGGGTTGGATCAATTTTTGGTAAAAAATCCACCCCCAATGATGTGTATGATATTAGGGTGGCATTTTTACCGAATATTGATCTGAAACCCCAAAACGTATGAAATTACTCTGAACACCTTAGTTTAGTTCAAATATCCTCAGGTCCCTGTGGTCTGAGTGGGTCCTGAGCTGTCCGTATAACAGACAGTCATCTGCAACGAGACGGACGGTGGATGACACAGAATCCGGCAGGATCGTTAACGAAGCATGAGGGGCCGAGTACGGTCCCTTTTGGAACTCCTGACTGAACCAAGATTCAAGATCTTGATTCTTGAAATCTTGAATCTTGAAATCTTGAATGTTGAATCCTGACTGATCCCTGGCTGTGGATAAGTGGTCACCTTCTACGACGACTTGTCGAGTGCGTTTAGTGGGGAATTATATATAGCCGTGATGACTATCATGTGATTTCATCGTTATTTTTTAATTACTTATCGCCGTTATGGGTTTTTTTTATGGTTTAACGTGGATGAAGTGATTTCTTTTGTTCGATGATAACAAAAGTTTCATTCCGTAGTCAATTTCTGATGTTTGCAATTCTCCAAAAAATGTTGTGTCTGAAACGCGTATTTCTCCATCAAAATAATTGCTTCTGAGAACAGGGCAACTTCATATAATATAAATATCTTCTGATCCAAAAAGAGTAAAAACTTTAATTATACATGTAACATGTCATTTTTTAAGGAAATAACCATTTTGTGACTGCAGTTAGGTCTTTTGTCTCGGGTTTAAAATATCAGTTGGCGGACAGTCCTCTGATAGAACTGACAATGCAATTTCTTGAGTTTAATCCCATTATTGACTGTATGAACATCTCGCTCTCGAAAATTTCTGGTTTCAGACAAAAAGCACAAAGAGTTATTTCCACATACACCAGCAGCGAGTGACTATATAAGATTTAAACGTGAACGGATGATATCCACAAAAAGAGTTTCCATTCCTATTAAATTAAATTAGTGCAGTTTGGAACGTCACCTCAATGATAATTCATTACATGTAGACATTTTATTTTAAAACCGGTTTAATTTATAAGGGAAGTAACTCGTGTAGTCTTAAATCACAAAGTCATTCTCCGCCGTACGCGTCGGGGTCAATAGGACCAGAAAAAAACCAATTATGTTTTAGGCTTACTTATAAATTTTATAATGACGCTTTTTTTATTTAACAATTAATTATTGCAACAAATCAAATGATAACCAAGTAAAATATTCACCGAAAAAGGGAAGTATGACTGACGTTTTGTGTATTTTTTACTCTGGGTATAGGAACACAATTGGAAAAAAATAGAAGTGAATGCATGCTAGTGTCTGTGTATTTCCCGAAATAGTGGACCGACGTACTATTATTCAGTAATGACTGGTAGTTTTGTTATACCAAGGCCTAGTTCACGGTCTTTACCCTATAACCCAATATGACGCATGGTCTGGCGAAATTTAAGTACGTTAAAAAAAATGTTTTAAGGTTTAGAAAATGGTTTGGTGGTCTACATAATAGACAGGTGTGAGATATAAGCCTATTTGTTGGACACAAAATGTTTTTTTATTTTCATCTCTGACTTGTACGCATACAATTCCAGATGAAATACGGGTATTAAAACACTCTTAATTCATTATAAATGATGTTTGACTACTAAAGGTTGGTATTCTAATTTCTTATTCACTGGAAAAATTGATTATGGTTTGTACGGGTATGAGAAAATCCCACAATCAAACCGACTTGATATATTCGTGTATTAAATATATGTTCAGAGATATAGCAAACCATTCTGGGTGGTATAACAGACAAGTGATGAACCTCTTCAGCTAAATTCGCGTCCCTCCTGGATGTATCCTTGGTTTATTGTCGTGTATATGAAATCACTGTTTTATTCGATGAATTCCCACACCCCTACCTATATAGCTAGTCTTCTAGCCGGACAGGAACACGGTCGATATCACCGACTTGCTGTTATAGAGAGTACGTTGACGATAACATTTACATCGCAATATATACAAGTCCACTATACAATATTTATAATATAATATAACGTATTGATATTCTACAATTCGCTGCAGCAGGAAATAGCCGTTGTGATCAGCTTACATACGTATATGGTTTTCTCTATAGCCCTCCTTCATATCTAACAGAAAACACGCACTGTGCCAGTAACTTAATTAGGTTGGGCTGTTTACTTGCTGATTAGGAGTAGAGACCATGCATTTTCTTAACTGATTTATTACAGTGTTTTAAAATATTTATATTTACAGCATAGCATACTAGCCAACTCTGCCTATTTAGGAGGGAGACTCCCAATTTTGGGACCTAAATCTGAGCATTTTCAAACAGTGAATGTGCTAAACTATTCCTATTTTCAAAGATCTGAAGATTTCATCTGAAAGAACAGCTCAAAAGATGTCATTTAGAAGTGTTATTCTCTATGGTACATACACTCATTTTATTATAATGTATGTAGAAACTTGTAGCGGGGTTCTTACGGACTACGGAGTGGGTGTGGTCGGTGGTGTAGGGGGCGGGGCACCTGCATGGTTAGTAACGGGGTTACCTGTATGTATACATGTACCTGTGCTTTATCAATATGTCCATTCATAAACACACACACCTTTTAAACTATGTACACTGTGTAGGATCAACCTGTTTGAACTTGTACAAAATCATAGTGAAAGGCAAATTGTTTTTCCCTTTTCTGTTTTATTATTTTCCCTTCTGAACCCGCATGTCATGCACTTTCTCATACTTAGCATAAATGTTCTTTAATAAAATAAGCATCCATGTTTCAAAAGCTGTTAATTTCACAGGGACCTGAAAATTTGACACAGCTATATTTGGACCTAAAATAAGGTGTCCAGAGGTAATTTTACATGTTTTAGGGGTTAAGATCGACTTCCTGTAAATATAATCATGGGGGGTGGGGGGTGGGGGGGTTCTTAACCCCTAAAGCATGTAAAATCACTCTAAGCACCTCAGTTTAGGTACAAATATAGCTATGACAAATTCTCCGGTCTCTGTGGTTAATTTCTGTGGGAAAGATCAACGTGTATCGACAAGAGTCAGCAGTGTTGTCACACCTCAGAGGTCGATTTTATTACCTACAACATTTAACGAACGCCATTAACCACCCAAAAACTCACAAGTATGCGACAGTCCCGTCAAAAACATACATTCTGTAGACTAATTAGGATCTGTTTGCTATGTATTGGGTGGACAATCAGTTTCGTCGACTGTTACAAATCATTCTTTATACCTGTTGTTCCATATTGTTACCGTTACATATAGCTACCCTCGTTAGACAACATTGCCGATATTTAATATAAAACGTCATTGTATGTATAAGTACGAATGTGACTTTTTTATATATATAATCGCAATGAGTCACCTTATTGACAACGACATATACGAATATTTAATTATTTACCAGAATTAAGGTATCCGATGGAGTGTCGATATCCCGAAAAAGATACCTCCCTGTGTGTATAACAGTAAAGGAAGTAAATAATGAAATAAAATGTCAACCATTATGTCAGACTTTGTTTTAATATGAAGAGAAATAAGTCACATGCAATAATCGTTTTACATACATCAATAATAATCACACAATGTTTTCACTAATACAACTGTATGCAAAGGACCCCGATATCGTTTACCCAAGGTTCCTTATAGCTATAAGCACGTAGTGTTGCCTGTCGAACAAACAGCGGGGTAGGGTTGATTTTAATTTGACTTCAAACTCGTAGTGTTTTTAATTCCTTTATCTCTAGTAATCTAAGGGCCATTCTTGAGTCGTTTAAAGTAAGGTCGAGTTTTACTTCACTGTTTCGGCTGACACTAAGATATGTCAC